CTCCGCTTGGTTTCCCCGATGTAGAGGAAGCCACACCGGGTACAGCGGATGCAGTATACCACATTGGCAGATGTGCAGGTGAACATCTGCTTGATGTGGAAAGTCTTCTTGGGGCCTGGGATGGGGGTGAGTAAATGATATTTATTGATAAGCTGAAAGAACTTCTGAGTTTTGCTTGGGTTGACATTTATTTTATTTCTTCTTCACCTCGTACTATATATTTTTAAAATGGTTTCCCTTGCTCACCTCCCCAAGTTGCTTGTTCCCATGGGACTGCTGAAGTGGTACTTTTGTGGTCCTTTACAAACTTAAAGATTGAAACTGACCCTGCCCTATATTTAGATGGCTTGGAATGTCAGTGCACTCTGGTGGCATTGGCTTTGGCTTTCTATCAATTCTGCCCCATGCCTGGCTGCTATTAATTGACAATAATTAAATTAATTTAAAAAGACTAATTTGCTAATGTCCTTTGTCCTTTTTCCTTTACAAGCCAAGTGATTAGAATTCTGTGTGGTGCTAATTTTGCAGGTATCATTCTTCTCTTCTATGAGATATGTTAGTGTGGGAATCCTCAGCTGCGAGAATCTCATGTTTTGATTTGTTAATCGGGGTGTATTAAGCAAAATCCAGTTATCCAATTGAGTCTGCTTATGGAATGTAACTGGTTTGAATAATCAAGCTATGGTTTCTTTCATCTCTTTGCAATTGATCTCTTGCAGAGTACATATTGGAATCAGACTTCATATATGATGTCCTCATGGATGTGCATTTTCTGTGCCACGTCAACAATTAAGCCGTAATAAAGTTACCAGTTCCAGGACCTTTCCTTCCCCACTGAAGGTTTAAAAATACTGAAGGTAAGAAATGTATGGTGGAAAGCGGCACTTGTATCAAATCATGGTATTGTGTGAACAGAATAGTAAATAGAAAAAAGCAAATTATAATTTAGGTTTCAGATGACACATAGTATATTGCCTGGCAGCAAATACAAGGTTAATTCCCTCAAAAACTGGTCTGTTAATTCACTGTTGGGAATCCTATATGAAACATAAATATTTTTCCACAGAAAGTAAATGAAAACTCTCACCTGGCCTGTTCTAGCAAGTAAAATTGTTGTGAAATACATGTAAGCTACTTGCCCAACCCCTACTTCCTTGCAGATGGCTTGTAGTCTAGAGAAACCTGAGGATTGCACAAGAATCACAGGAAGTTCCTATACAAATGTTAGGGTCGATTTTTGTTCATATATTTTATTCTTTTCATTCTTCCTGTAAAATAAGATATTTTTAAAAATGCTATGTAAAATGAGGTTAAAAAGAAACAAACCCAAGCACTGAGATTTACTTACAGATGAAAGAATTGAAAAATGTGGAATTCTTGCTGCACTTGTTTAGAACTTTTGTTAGCCTAAACTGTGCACAGTTTTAGTCTCCAGATTATAAAATTAGTGAAGATCTGAAAAGGATTTACGAAGGCGATACAGGACCAGAAAGTTCAGGCTGGCATTCTTTCCTCTGCAAAGAAGGCTGAGAGCGAACTGATAAAAGTCTTTTTAACTTATCAAACCATTTCATTCTCTGAAATATAAACATCTTTCTACTAGACGGGAGAGAGGTCGAGAGAGAAAGGAAATGTAGAGAATATAAATGAAAGATAGTCACCTAATAAATCCAAAGGGACGTACAGGAGAAATTTTTTTTATCTAAAGAGTGATGAGAGACTAAATGTGAATTGGACTATCTCAAGGATTATTGGAGCATTTGGTAGAGAGACCTTTTTAAGTGGAAGCTAGAAACGCATGAGGGATAAAAGAATAGTATAGGCAGCACAGTGGCTCAGTAATTAGCACTGCTGCTTCACAATGCCAGGGACCTGGGTTCGATTCCACCCTTGGGCAACTGTCTGTTTAGAGTTTGCACATTCTCCCTGTGTCTGCGCAGGTTTCCTCCCACAGTCCAAAGATGTGCGGGCTAGGTGATTGGCCATGTGTTCAGGGATGTGAATTAAGTGGGTTATAGGGGGATGGGTCTAGGTGGGATGCTCCGAGGTATGGACATGTTGGGCCAAAGGGCCTGTTTCCACACTGTAGGAATTCTATGATTATATATGCCAAGAAGGTTGGTTAGAGATGGGCAGGGACTCATTGCTTTTTTCTAGTGTTTAAACTTTCTTGAGGAATTCTTCTTTCAGGGAATTGAGGAATATGTGGAGCAGGCAGGAGTTCAGGCAGAGGATCAGACCCAAATGTATTGAATGGCAGAGCAGAGCTGAATGATCTCTGCCCTCTCCTATTTCTTATGTTCTTGTTTAGAGTAGGTGAATTCCAAGTTTGAGAAATAACATGCAGTCACATTTGGACTAAACCTTTGGGAGTGCTTTTCTTCCTCTTTCTAGTCAGGCTGTTCACAATGGCAGCAATAATTTGACAGCTGGATGTAAGGATACCAACTGACTGCAAGATTTTGAATCCTCCAGTCCAAATCTTTTAATAGGAAATCACCAGTGTTGTTAACAAAATCTTCAATTTACATGAAGGCAATCGTTCAGCTCGTTTGTCATGTCTTTCATTCAGTCACCAATTCTGAAGCTGTTTCACCTGGTGAATTCTGTATTCCTGTGTCATTGAGACAGGGAAGATGAAAGGATCGATAACAATGAGATTCATCTACATGCACACTACGATCGTGGACCTTGGTTAAATTTTTCTACAACAACCACCATAATAATCTGTACTCAGTCTACTTAGGCTCACTAATGAAGTAATATTTGAGATATGCAATAAATGGCAAGCTGACCGGTGGCAGTCAATATGCAGTTGTCATCATCTTCTCTATTACATACTCACTCTGACCTACCACAAGGTAAATCTGCAATGCCCTGATTTGTGAGCAGGCTACTGATATTTTATTCATAGGACAAACGCTTGTCCTGTTGGGAAAAACGTAGCAGAATGAAAGGGCACTGCAATCATTCAGGGTGACAGGATCCACAAGGTTGTAGAGGCCATCAGCTATTTCATTGATGTTATGAATTATAGAACTGTAAATGCTGCGGAGCTTACTATTTGAGGCACTCAAGGCCAGAGTAGTAGCAGCAAGGAAGCCTACGAAAATCTGTATAGCCTGGAAGAACTTGTGAAGAAGCCAGAACTGTAGGGGACAATACAGCCTGCAGATCTTCAGGAACAGATTGTTCTGAATGAACCTCACTCAGGAACAGTATTACCTAAGGTAGCAACTCTCCACCCAAAGGGCAGTGGACCCACCTGCACCATTAATGCCTCCAGTGCTGCATCCATCACATTGGATCCTCTAACTCCTTGATTCATGTTCTGTGAATTTCCACTACAGTAATCATTTTGTCCAGCTAATAAATTATCAATGACATCCAAGTGGCCAATTGAAGCCAGGATTCCATGTTAAAGGGACATCAGCATTAACTGGCAAAAGGCAAATCCAGGCATTATGCCAGGAAACAGCTTTCCAGAGAATGCTTAATGTCTGAAATTGTGTGCGCGCGCGCGTGTACTGCTGTTAGACACTGGAAGCAAAATGGCTCTTTTAAGAGTTAGTTAGATTGTGATTCTCTATGAAAGTATATGTTAAATGGGCAGAATGTCATTTTATATATTTTTTTGTTGTTTGGGCAACTATAAACCACTAATAATTCTCCTCACTTCATCCACCTGCCTCTTAAAGTCAGAAAACCTCGGTATTAAGTTTATCGGCTCTGTAGCTGCATATATATGGAATATCTATGTTCTGTAAAGGATTCTTCTCACTAACACTGCTGCAGATATGGCTGGAGTTTGAATGTACTCCAAAGTGGTCCTCAGATCTGTGGTTATACACAATTTACACAATAAGGTCACCTAAATACAAAATCAGAATTTTCAGGTTATATTCTCATGCAACTAGAAGGTGTTTATACTCAGCTTATTTTTAGTGCAGGACCTGAAATTTAACCCTCTGTAGACTTTCCAGCTCAGGAAGGATGTGCATTGGCCGTTTGACATGCAAATTCTTATAGTATCGCCATCACTTTCTCACTGTATTCTGCCACTTCCTGATTAAGTTCCTGCCTGTGTTGGTGTTGTAGTGCTGGTTTGTGATGGCATTGGAAGCTTTGCCAGATTCTTGAGCATGCTTAAAAAGGTAGAAAAGAAACACCAGTTAAATACTCCTTCCACTGTCAATTACATGGCAATACATTTTGTAGCATGATGCCACCCTTAAGTGTTTGCCCCTGTGATAAGAGTATGTGAATCAGCGACTAGATAGATGAGAGTTTATCCTTCTGTGCTCTATTTTTGCTTATCTGATGCATCTGACTTTACAGCTTTACTTCTACAGCCCCACAATTAAGTTATCTATTCAAATATGCTCGATAACATGTAGTTCCTGATTTAATTTGCCAACGTGTTTTGGAGCAGGAAATAGTGTTGGAAGTGTTGAGAGAAAATTCAGTCCAAGTTCAACAACTTACGTCCAGACCAACTCCTAACTCTCCAACCTATAACCAATAGCAATGAGTATCCCTTACACATGCAATGAGTACTCATTAACTGTAAACGGTTAACCTTCTTTATTTATGCAATAAACAGAAACCTGTTGAAGCAGACAAACCAAATCAGCAGATTGGACAGACTGTCAGTGAAACACCATGGATGGCTGATTTGGTTTACCAGGTTATGTTACAAAGATTTGCCCTAACTAGCCAGAATTGTATAGACAGTAATTTGTTGCTATGTAGGCATTCAAGAATCTATAATATTGTCAGACTGCTTTCATACAGAGAGCTTTCAAAGTTTAGTGAGGTATAAGATATATTTTTAGTTTTTTAAATTAAATTATTAGTGGGTAGCCTTGCCTTGGCTAATTCCTTGTATTTAATGAATTATAAATTTGATGCCAATTTTTCTCATGGACTGGTTTGATTTTTTTTTTTGTTTATTACTTCCAAAGTCACACTTTCAAAGTGAGTGCCCAGAGAAACCCACCTTACTGCACAACAGTACTCCTATTATCCCATCAGTGTGTGGGTTTTACTACTATTCATTATAATTAAAGATCTTGTTTTTTGCAAACCTTGACGAATTTATCAATAAATGTGTACCTTTTTAGAATGCTTCAGTTGCATGTAGCTGCTAGTTTCCTGTCACTCTCAGAATCATCAAAAACAAATCAGCTCATCAAAGCTGCCTATTCAAACAGCTGTAAAAATCTGTACATCATTATTCTATTTGCAAACTATGAATTATCCTGGGAAAGACCAAAACAAAGGGAAATCAAAAAACCCATGGCCAAGGCAAGAAAAACTCTGGAGAATTTACCTTCAACACCCCCAGGCAAGCGAGCAAGGCAAATCTTCCCAGTAGCTTGCAACTAATATAAGTAGAACAAGCCCAGAGAGATTCATTGATGTGCTACTCAAATGAGTGGAAAGTGCATCCTTTAACATTTCAAGATCCTTGTGAAAAATCTGAGTTATTTATTTGAAATTAAATTCAGTGTCTTTCTGTAATGATCCAGTGAAAAATATTTGATATTTCCGATTTGAAACTGTATTAACAGATTAATGGCTATTTCATCCTGGATCCAAAATTTTGCATCGTGAATTGAATTGAATAGGCTTTATTGTCACGTGTACTGAAATGAGAACAGTGAAAAGTTTATAAGTCACCACTTACAGCACTGTCTTAAGTAAAGAGTACCCAGGTACGGTCCTTAGTTACAGAATAGAGAAATGAAGAAAAGATGTTATGTTTACAGCTATACATGGTATAACCATAGATCTGAAAAACAAGAAGCAAAGTTAAAAAGACCAGCATCGCAGTCTCTCTCCTGCAGCAGATCAC